CAGAAACTAGGGCCACAGAATTGTTACTAGGGCCACAGAATTGTTACTCAGGGACCACAGAATTGTTACTGACACAGAGAATTGTTTAGGGACTCAGGGCCACAGAATTGTTACTTAGGGCCACAGAATTGTTACTTAGGGCCACACAGAATTGTTACTTAGGGCCACAGAATTGTTACTCAGGGGACAGACAGAATTGTTACTGCAGCCAGACACAGAATTGTTACTCAGGGCCACAGAATTGTTTACTTGAGGGCCACAGAATTGTTACTCAGGGGGACAGGCCACAGAATTGTTACTGAGGGCACAGAATTGTTTACTTAGGGCCACAGAATTGTTACTCTGGCACAGCCACAGAATTGTTACTTCAGGGCACAGAGAATTGTTACACAGGGACACAGAATTGTTACTGAGGGCCACAGAATTGTTACTTGAGGGCCAGAATTGTTACTTAGGGCCACAGAGATGTTACTCGCACAGACACAGAATTGTTACTCGCACAGACACAGAATTGTTACTCGCAGGGACACAGAATTGTTACTCAGGCACAGACAGAATTGTTACTGCCACAGCCACAGGAGCCACAGAATTGTTACTCAGGGGACACAGAATTGTTTACTGAGGGCCACAGAATTTTTACTGAGGGCCACAGAATTGTTACTTAGGGCCACAGAATTTGTTACTCAGGCACAGACACAGAATTGTTACTCGCACAGACACAGAATTGTTACTCAGGGGCACAGAATTGTTACTGAGGGCCACAGAATTGTTACTTAGGGCCACAGAATTGTTACTCGCACAGACACAGAATTGTTACTCGCACAGACACAGAATTGTTACTGAGGGCCACAGAACTGTTACTTGGGGCCACAGAAACGTTAATGGGGGACACAGAATTGTTACTGAGGGCCACAGAACTGTTACTTAGGGCCACAGAATTGTTACTCGCACAGACACAGAATTGTTACTCAGGGACACAGATTGTTTACTCAGGGACACATAATCGTTTAATTAAAGAGTATGTCAGACACACATGCAGAGGAGTGGCAGAGGAGGCAATGTTTTAGGAGAGAGCAGACGTGGCAGCAGAGGAAGGGGTCGAGGCAGCACTATTCGCAGCCAGAGGCCAGTGTGCCCCCGGTGTCATCCAGCGGTCGTGTCTCCACCGACAACCCTGCCGTCATCGATTGGTTGGCTCGGTCGTCTTCCTCTTCCCAGGTCACCTCTGACACCTACAGCCAACGGTCGGTGGGTACGTCAGACACAACCGTTAGTTGGCATGGCCCGGGACCAAGCCCACTGAAATCACGTGTGTCTACCTGCCCCTGTCCTTTGGTGTTCCCTCACCAAGCGAAGTATCGCATGCTGTGGGCTCAGCCCCACTGTACAGTGAGGAAGAGCTAACAGAGGGCGGTCAGGAACGGGGGGAGACATCCCGCCTTTTTTCAGCAGCTAGGCGAAGAAGTAGTGGCGAGGAGAGTGGCCCGGTAGCCGGTCTAGAGACAGGTCTGTCTCCTGACCCAGACGCAGCCGAGGGGGCTAGTAGTGAGGCGGAGACCCTACTTGATGATGAGGAGGTTGGTTGATCGCGCACTTGGCAGCCTCGTCGTCATCAGGCAATTTCTTCCGCATCATCAGGAGAAGAGGGTGGCAGCTTGGCAGTGAGCGAAACAGTCGGTGGGTTGCCCAGGAGACAGCAGCAGGGTCGCAGCAGTGTCAGTGGAAGCAGTGTCAGTGGAGCCAAACGGCCACGGAGTAGAGCACCAGCTCCACTGCAGCCTACCACCACGGCCAGTAGTGGTGCCGGTGTGCACGGAGGCCTCCCAGCAGCAGTCAGCCAGTGAGGAGTATCGGGGGCAAAGTTTCCTACTCGGCGGTGTGGCAATTTTTCGTCAAGCCGCCCGAGGAAGTACGTAGCCGTATGTCGACTATGTGGCCAGAAAGTCAAGCGTGGCCAGGGGGCCCATGTTGGGACTATTTGGGCCATGTTGGGACAAATGGGAGACCTCCCATTGCTGCTGTCTCCATCGCGCCACACTCTGCCATGTGCCACTTTCAGGTCTCCTCACACACTGCTGGTGTGTGTTGAATTTTTTGACATAGGGTGCTGGCAGATTACGGGGCCTCCCATAGCTGCTGCCAGGCCCCTAATCTGCCATAGGCCCCTATATACCGCCGCCCTCCTCATGCTGCTGCCAGGTCCAGAGTCTCTCATGGGTCCCTGTACGGCCTCCCATTGCTGCTGTCTCCATCGCCACACTCTGCCATGTGCCACTTTCAGGTCTCCTCACACACTGCTGTGTGTGTAGAATTTTTTGACATAGGGTGCTGGCAGATTACGGGCCTCCCATAGCTGCTGCCAGGCCCCTAATCTGCCATAGGCCCCTATATACCGCCTCCTCATGCTGCTGCCAGGTCCAGAGTCTCTCATGGGTCCCTGTACGGCCTCCCATTGCTGCTGTCTCCATCGCCACACTCTGCCATGTGCCACTTTCAGGTCTCCTCACACACTGCTGGTGTGTAGAATTTTTTGACATAGGGTGCTGGCAGATTACGGGCCTCCCATAGCTGCTGCCAGGCCCCTAATCTGCCATAGGCCCCTATATACCGCCTCCTCATGCTGCTGCCAGGTCCAGAGTCTCTCATGGGTCCCTGTACGGCCTCCCATTGCTGCTGTCTCCATCGCCACACTCTGCCATGTGCCACTTTCAGGTCTCCTCACACACTGCTGGTGTGTAGAATTTTTTGACATAGGGTGCTGGCAGATTACGGGCCTCCCATAGCTGCTGCCAGGCCCCTAATCTGCCATAGGCCCCTATATACCGCCTCCTCATGCTGCTGCCAGGTCCAGAGGTCTCTCTCATGGGTCCCTGTACGGCCTCCCATTGCTGCTGTCTCCATCGCCACACTCTGCCATGTGTGCCACTTTCAGGTCTCCTCACACACTGCTGGTGTGTAGAATTTTTTGACATAGGGTGCTGGCAGATTACGGGCCTCCCATAGCTGCTGCCAGGCCCCTAATCTGCCATAGGCCCCTATATACCGCCTCCTCATGCTGCTGCCAGGTCCAGAGTCTCTCATGGGTCCCCCTGTACGGGCCTCCCATTGCTGCTGTCTCTCCATCGCCACACTCTGCCATGTGCCACTTTCAGGTCTCCTCACACACTGCTGGTGTGTTGAATTTTTTGACATAGGGTGCTGGCAGATTACGGGCCTCCCATAGCTGCTGCCAGGCCCCTAATCTGCCATAGGCCCCTATATACCGCCTCCTCATGCTGCTGCCAGGTCCAGAGTCTCTCATGGGTCCCTGTACGGCCTCCCATTGCTGCTGTCTCCATCGCCACACTCTGCCATGTGCCACTTTCTTTCAGGTCTCTCACACACTGCTGGTGTGTTGAATTTTTTGACATAGGGTGCTGGCAGATTACGGGCCTCCCATAGCTGCTGCCAGGCCCCCCCTAATCTGCCATAGGCCCCTATATACCGCCTCCTCATGCTGCTGCCAGGTCCAGAGTCTCTCATGGGTCCCTGTACGGCCTCCCATTGCTGCTGTCTCCATCGCCACACTCTGCCATGTGCCACTTTCAGGTCTCCTCACACACTGCTGGTGTGTGTTAGAATTTTTTGACATAGGGTGCTGGCAGATTACGGGCCTCCCATAGCTGCTGCCAGGCCCCTAATCTGCCATGGGCCCCTATATACCGCCTCCTGCATGCTGCCAGGTCCAGAGTCTCTCATGGGTCCCTGTACGGCCTCCCATTGCTGCTGTCTCCATCGCCACACTCTGCCATGTGCCACTTTCAGGTCTCCTCACACACTGCTGGTGTGTAGAATTTTTTGACATAGGGTGCTGGCAGATTACGGGCCTCCCATAGCTGCTGCCAGGCCCCTAATCTGCCATGGGCCCCTATATACCGCCTCCTCATGCTGCTGCCAGGTCCAGAGTCTCTCATGGGTCCCTGTACGGCCTCCCATTGCTGCTGTCTCCATCGCCACACTCTGCCATGTGCCACTTTCAGGTCTCCTCACACACTGCTGGTGTGTGTAGAATTTTTTGACATAGGGTGCTGGCAGATTACGGGGCCTCCCATAGCTGCTGCCAGGCCCCTAATCTGCCATAGGCCCCTATATACCGCCTCCTCATGCTGCTGCCAGGTCCAGAGTCTCTCATGGGTCCCTGTACGGCCTCCCATTGCTGCTGTCTCCATCGCCACACTCTGCCATGTGCCACTTTCAGGTCTCCTCACACACTGCTGGTGTGTAGAATTTTTTGACATAGGGTGCTGGCAGATTACGGGCCTCCCATAGCTGCTGCCAGGCCCCTAATCTGCCATAGGCCCCTATATACCGCCTCCTCATGCTGCTGCTGCCAGTCCAGAGTCTCTCATGGGTCCCTGTACGGCCTCCCATTGCTGCTGTCTCCATCGCCACACTCTGCCATGTGCCACTTTCAGGTCCTCACACACTGCTGGTGTGTAGAATTTTTTGACATAGGGTGCTGGCAGATTACGGGCCTCCCATAGCTGCTGCCAGGCCCCTAATCTGCCATGGGCCCCTATATACCGCCTCCTCATGCTGCTGCCAGGTCCAGAGTCTCTCATGGGTCCCTGTACGGCCTCCCATTGCTGCTGTCTCCATCGCCACACACTGCCATGTGCCACTTTCAGGTCTCTCTCACACTGCTGGTGTGTTGAATTTTTTGACATAGGGTGCTGGCAGATTACGGGCCTCCCATAGCTGCTGCCAGGCCCCTAATCTGCCATAGGCCCCTATATATACCGCCTCCTCATGCTGCTGCCAGGTCCAGAGTCTCTCATGGGTCCCTGTACGGCCTCCCATTGCTGCTGTCTCCATCGCCACACTCTGCCATGTGCCACTTTCAGGTCCTCACACACTGCTGTGTGTGTAGAATTTTTTGACATAGGGTGCTGGCAGATTACGGGCCTCCCATAGCTGCTGCCAGGCCCCTAATCTGCCATAGGCCCCTATATACCGCCTCCTCATGCTGCTGCCAGGTCCAGAGTCTCTCATGGGTCCCTGTACGGCCTCCCATTGCTGCTGTCTCCATCGCCACACTCTGCCATGTGCCACTTTCAGGTCTCCTCACACACTGCTGGTGTGTTGAATTTTTTGACATAGGGTGCTGGCAGATTACGGGCCTCCCATAGCTGCTGCCAGGCCCCTAATCTGCCATGGGCCCCTATATACCGCCTCCTCATGCTGCTGCCAGGTCCAGAGTCTCATGGGTCCCTGTACGGCCTCCCATTGCTGCTGTCTCCATCGCCACACTCTGCCATGTGCCACTTTCAGGTCTCCTCACACACTGCTGGTGTGTGTAGAATTTTTTGACATAGGGTGCTGGCAGATTACGGGCCTCCCTATAGCTGCTGCCAGGCCCCTAATCTGCCATAGGCCCCTATATACCGCCTCCTCATGCTGCTGCCAGGTCCAGAGTCTCTCATGGGTCCCTGTACGGCCTCCCATTGCTGCTGTCTCCATCGCCACACTCTGCCATGTGCCACTTTCAGGTCTCTCCTCACACTGCTGGTGTGTAGAATTTTTTGACATAGGGTGCTGGCAGATTACGGGCCTCCCATAGCTGCTGCCAGGCCCCTAATCTGCCATAGGGCCCCTATATATACCGCCTCCTCATGCTGCTGCCAGGTCCAGAGTCTCTCATGGGTCCCTGTACGGCTCCCATTGCTGCTGTCTCCATCGCCACACTCTGCCATGTGCCACTTTCAGGTCTCCTCACACACTGCTGTGTGTGTAGAATTTTTTGACATAGGGTGTGCTGGCAGATTACGGGCCTCCTCCATAGCTGCTGCCAGGCCCCTAATCTGCCATAGGCCCCTATATACCGCCTCTCCTCATGCTGCTGCCAGGTCCAGAGTCTCTCATGGGTCCCTGTACGGCCTCCCCCATTGCTGCTGTCTCCATCGCCACACTCTGCCATGTGCCACTTTCAGGTCTCCTCACACACTGCTGGTGTGTTGAATTTTTTGACATAGGGTGCTGGCAGATTACGGGCCTCCCATAGCTGCTGCCAGGCCCCTAATCTGCCATAGGCCCCTATATACCGCCTCCTCATGCTGCTGCCAGGTCCAGAGTCTCTCATGGGTCCCTGTACGGCCTCCCATTGCTGCTGTCTCCATCGCCACACTCTGCCATGTGCCACACTTTCAGGTCTCTCCTCACACTGCTGGTGTGTAGAATTTTTTGACATAGGGTGCTGGCAGATTACGGGCCTCCATAGCTGCTGCCAGGCCCCTAATCTGCCATAGGCCCCTATATACCGCCTCCTCCTCATGCTGCTGCCAGGTCCAGAGAGTCTCTCATGGGTCCCTGTACGGCCTCCCATTGCTGCTGTCTCCATCGCCACACTCTGCCATGTGCCACTTTCAGGTCTCCTCACACACTGCTGGTGTGTAGAATTTTTTGACATAGGGTGCTGGCAGATTACGGGCCTCCCATAGCTGCTGCCAGGCCCCTAATCTGCCATAGGCCCCTATATATACCGCCTCCTCATGCTGCTGCCAGGTCCAGAGTCTCTCATGGGTCCCTGTACGGCCTCCCATTGCTGCTGTCTCCATCGCCACACTCTGCCATGTGCCACTTTCAGGTCTCCTCACACACTGCTGGTGGTGTGTAGAATTTTTTGACATAGGGTGCTGGCAGATTACGGGCCTCCCATAGCTGCTGCCAGGCCCCTAATCTGCCATGGGCCCCTATATACCGCCTCCTCATGCTGCTGCCAGGTCCAGAGTCTCATGGGTCCCTGTACGGCCTCCCATTGCTGCTGTCTCCATCGCCACACTCTGCCATGTGCCACTTTCAGGTCTCTCACACACTGCTGGTGTGTTGAATTTTTTGACATAGGGTGCTGGCAGATTACGGGCCTCCCATAGCTGCTGCTGCCAGGCCCCTAATCTGCCATAGGCCCCTATATACCGCCTCCTCATGCTGCTGCCAGGTCCAGAGTCTCTCATGGGTCCCTGTACGGCCTCCCATTGCTGCTGTCTCCATCGCCACACTCTGCCATGTGCCACTTTCAGGTCTCTCCTCACACACTGCTGGTGTGTTAGAATTTTTTGACATAGGGTGCTGGCAGATTACGGGCCTCCCATAGCTGCTGCCAGGGCCCCTAATCTGCCATAGGCCCCTATATACCGCCTCCTCATGCTGCTGCCAGGTCCAGAGTCTCTCATGGGTCCCTGTACGGCCTCCCATTGCTGCTGTCTCCATCGCCACACTCTGCCATGTGCCACTTTCAGGTCTCCTCACACACTGCTGTGTGTGTAGAATTTTTTGACATAGGGTGCTGGCAGATTATTACGGGCCTCCCATAGCTGCTGCCAGGCCCCTAATCTGCCATAGGCCCCTATATACCGCCTCCTCATGCTGCTGCCAGGTCCAGAGTCTCTCATGGGTCCCTGTACGGCCTCCCATTGCTGCTGTCTCCATCGCCACACTCTGCCATGTGCCACTTTCAGGTCTCCTCACACACTGCTGGTGTGTTGAATTTTTTGACATAGGGTGCTGGCAGATTACGGGCCTCCCATAGCTGCTGCCAGGCCCCTAATCTGCCATGGGCCCCTATATACCGCCTCTCTCATGCTGCTGCCAGGTCCAGAGTCTGTCATGGGTCCCTGTACGGCCTCCCATTGCTGCTGTCTCCATCGCCACACACTGCCATGTGCCACTTTCAGGTCTCCTCTCACACTGCTGGTGTGTGAATTTTTTGACATAGGGTGCTGGCAGATTACGGGCCTCCTATAGCTGCTGCCAGGCCCCTAATCTGCCATAGGCCCCTATATACCGCCTCCTCATGCTGCTGCCAGGTCCAGAGTCTCTCATGGGTCCCTGTACGGCCTCCCATTGCTGCTGTCTCCATCGCCACACTCTGCCATGTGCCACTTTCAGGTCTCCTCACACACTGCTGGTGTGTAGAATTTTTTGACATAGGGTGCTGGCAGATTACGGGCCTCCCATAGCTGCTGCCAGGCCCCTAATCTGCCATAGGCCCCTATATACCGCCTCCTCATGCTGCTGCCAGGTCCAGAGTCTCTCATGGGTCCCTGTACGGCCTCCCATTGCTGCTGTCTCCATCGCCACACTCTGCCATGTGCCACTTTCAGGTCTCCTCACACACTGCTGGTGTGTAGAATTTTTTGACATAGGGTGCTGGCAGATTACGGGCCTCCCATAGCTGCTGCCAGGCCCCTAATCTGCCATGGGCCCCTATATACCGCCTCCTCATGCTGCTGCCAGGTCCAGAGTCTCTCATGGGTCCCTGTACGGCCTCCCATTGCTGCTGTCTCCATCGCCACACTCTGCCATGTGCCACTTTCAGGTCTCCTCACACACTGCTGGTGTGTTGAATTTTTTGACATAGGGTGCTGGCAGATTACGGGCCTCCCATAGCTGCTGCCAGGCCCCTAATCTGCCATAGGCCCCTATATACCGCCTCCTCATGCTGCTGCCAGGTCCAGAGTCTCTCATGGGTCCCTGTACGGCCTCCCATTGCTGCTGTCTCCATCGCCACACTCTGCCATGTGCCACTTTCAGGTCTCCTCACACACTGCTGGTGTGTTGAATTTTTTGACATAGGGTGCTGGCAGATTACGGGCCTCCCATAGCTGCTGCCAGGCCCCTAATCTGCCATGGGCCCCTATATACCGCCTCCTCATGCTGCTGCCAGGTCCAGAGTCTCTCATGGGTCCCTGTACGGCCTCCCATTGCTGCTGTCTCCATCGCCACACTCTGCCATGTGCCACTTTCAGGTCTCCTCACACTGCTGGTGTGTTGAATTTTTTGACATAGGGTGCTGGCAGATTGGGCCTCCTATAGCTGCTGCCAGGCCCCTAATCTGCCATAGGCCCCTATATACCGCCTCCTCATGCTGCTGCCAGGTCCAGAGTCTCTCATGGGTCCCTGTACGGCCTCCCATTGCTGCTGTCTCCCATCGCCACACTCTGCCATGTGCCACTTTCAGGTCTCCTCACACTGCTGCTGGTGTGTAGAATTTTTTGACATAGGGTGCTGGCAGATTACGGGCCTCCCATAGCTGCTGCCAGGCCCCTAATCTGCCATAGGCCCCTATATACCGCCTCCTCATGCTGCTGCCAGGTCCACAGTCTCTCATGGGTGCCCTGTTCAGGCCTCTCCATTGCTGGTGCTGTCTCCATTTTTTGCCACACTCTGCCATGTGCCACTTTCAGGTCTCCTCACACACTGCTGGTGTGTTAGAATTTTTTGACATAGGGTGCTGGCAGATTACGGGCCCCCATAGCTGCTGCCAGGCCCCTAATCTGCCATAGGCCCCTATATACCGCCTCCTCATGCTGCTGCCAGGTCCAGAGTCTCATGGGTCCCTGTACGGCCTCCCATTGCTGCTGTCTCCATCGCCACACTCTGCCATGTGCCACTTTCAGGTCTCCTCACACTGCTGGTGTGTAGAATTTTTTGACATAGGGTGCTGGCAGATTACGGGCCTCCTATAGCTGCTGCCAGGCCCCTAATCTGCCATAGGCCCCTATATACCGCCTCCTCATGCTGCTGCCAGGTCCAGAGTCTCTCATGGGTCCCTGTACGGCCTCCCATTGCTGCTGTCTCCATCGCCACACTCTGCCTGCCATGTGCCACTTTCAGGTCTCCTCACACACTGCTGGTGTGTTGAATTTTTTGACATAGGGTGTGCTGGCAGATTACGGGCCTCCATATAGCTGCTGCCAGGCCCCTAATCTGCCATGGGCCCCTATATACCGCCTCCTCATGCTGCTGCCAGGTCCAGAGTCTCTCATGGGTCCCTGTACGGCCTCCCATTGCTGCTGTCTCCATCGCCACACTCTGCCATGTGCCACTTTCAGGTCTCTCCTCACACTGCTGGTGTGTTGAATTTTTTTTGACATAGGGCCACTATTGCTGGCAGATTATGGGCCCTCCATAGCTGCTGCCAGGGCCCCTAATCTGCCATAGGCCCCTATATACCGCCTCCTCATGCTGCTGCCAGGTGCCCAGTCTCCCAGTCTGCTCATGGGTCCCTGTACGGCCTCCCATTGCTGCTGCCTCCATCGCCACACTCTGCCTCCATGTGTCTTTCAGGTCTCCTCATTGCTGCTGTGTCTCCATCGCCACACTCTGCCATGTGCCACTTTCAGGTCTCCTCACACACTGTGGTGTGTTAGAATTTTTTGACATAGGGTGCTGGCAGATTACGGGCCTCCTATAGCTGCTGCCAGGCCCCTAATCTGCCATAGGCCCCTATATACCGCCTCCTCATGCTGCTGCCAGGTCCAGAGTCTCTCATGGGTCCCTGTACGGGCCTCCCATTGCTGCTGTCTCCATCGCCACACTCTGCCATGTGCCACTTTTCAGGTCTCTCTCACACACACTGCTGGTGTGTTAGAATTTTTTGACATAGGGTGCTGGCAGATTACGGGGCCTCCTATATAGCTGCTGCCAGGCCCCTAATCTGCCATAGGCCCCTATATACCGCTCCCTCATGCTGCTGCCAGGTCCAGAGTCTCTCATGGGTCCCTGTACGGCCTCCCATTGCTGCTGTCTCCATCGCCACACTCTGCCATGTGCCACTTTCAGGTCTCCTCACACTGCTGGTGTGTAGAATTTTTTGACACATAGGGTGCTGGCAGATTACGGGCCTCCCATAGCTGCTGCCAGGCCCCTAATCTGCCATAGGCCCCTATATACCGCCTCCTCATGCTGCTGCCAGGTCCAGAGTCTCTCATGGGTCCCTGTACGGCCTCCCATTGCTGCTGTCTCCATCCATCGCCACACTCTGCCATGTGCCACTTTCAGGTCTCCTCACACACTGCTGGTGTGTAGAATTTTTTGACATAGGGTGCTGGCAGATTACGGGCCTCCCATAGCTGCTGCCAGGGCCCCTAATCTGCCATAGGCCCCTATATACCGCCTCCTCATGCTGCTGCCAGGTCCAGAGTCTCTCATGGGTCCCTGTACGGCCTCCCATTGCTGCTGTCTCCATCGCCACACTCTGCCATGTGCCACTTTCAGGTCTCCTCACACACTGCTGGTGTGTAGAATTTTTTGACATAGGGTGCTGGCAGATTACGGGCCTCCATAGCTGCTGCTGCCAGGCCCCTAATCTGCCATAGGCCCCTATATACCGCCTCCTCATGCTGCTGCCAGGTCCAGAGTCTCTCATGGGTCCCTGTACGGCCTCCCATTGCTGCTGTCTCCATCGCCACACTCTGCCATGTGCCACTTTCAGGTCTCCTCACACACACTGCTGGTGTGTTGAATTTTTTGACATAGTCTCCTCACACACTGCTGGTGTGTAGAATTTTTTAGGTGCTGGCAGATTACGGGCCTCCCATAGCTGCTGCCAGGCCCCTAATCTGCCATAGGCCCCTATATACCGCCTCCTCATGCTGCTGCCAGGTCCAGAGTCTCTCATGGGTCCCTGTACGGCCTCCCATTGCTGCTGTCTCCATCGCCACACTCTGCCATGTGCCACTTTCAGGTCTCCTCACACTGCTGGTGTGTAGAATTTTTTGACATAGGGTGCTGGCAGATTACGGGCCTCCCATTGCTGCTGCCAGGCCCCTAATCTGCCATGGGCCCCTATATACCGCCTCCTCATGCTGCTGCCAAGTCCAGAGTGTGTCATGGGTCCCTGTACGGCCTCCCATTGCTGCTGTCTCCATAGCCACACTCTGCCATGTGCCACTTTCAGGTCTCCTCACACACTGCTGGTGTGTTGAATTTTTTGACATAGGGTGCTGGCAGATTACGGGCCTCCCATTGCTGCTGCCAGGCACGTAATCTGCCATGGGCCCCCGTACCGACTCCTCATGCTGTGACGTTGCAACAAGGTGGAATTCAACCCTACATATGTTAGACCGCCTTTACGAACAGCGAAAGGCCATCACCGATTTCCTGATGTTAAAAGCGGATAAAGGTACTCCCTGTGTAACTTAGATGTCAGCCATTGGCAGCTCATGCGTGACACCTGCGCTTGCTCAGGCCCTTTGAGGAGGCCACGCTATTCGTGAGTCGGCATGGGGGACTATGGGATGAACGACGTCATTCCTCTGTTGCACGTCCTGGAACAAATGCTGTTAACAATGGCTGGTCAGGGTGCGGTAGACGTGGCGCACAGATCTCAACGCCACATGACCCCTGTGGGGGCAGGACAGGAAGAAGAGGAGGAGGTAGAGGAGGACATTGGTGCTCAGGAATTATTGAGTGAAATGGGTGGTTTTTTCCACTCAGCGGACAGGAGTGGTGGAGGAGCAGGAGCATCTGGTAGAGGAGGAGGAGGAGGAGACAGAGGACCCAGACGCACCGTGGCAGTATGCTGTGGAGATGGAGGCAGGGGAGTCCCTCGCATTCCTTGGCACAAATGGCCCATAGCATGCTCGCTTGCTTGCGTAGCGACAGCCGAATAATAACCATCAGACAGAGGGATGACTTTTGGCTGTCCACCTTGTTGGACCCTCGCTACCGTTCAAAAATGGTGGCCTTTTTCACACCTGCTGAGAGGGAGGCCAAAATAACGTACTATAAAAACCACACCTATGTAGTCAGTGGTCTCTGCCTGTCTGCGCCAACGTCCATCCTCAGACACTGTGGGCCCTGTGCGCTCGCGTTCCGCTGCCATGGCAGCAGGGGAGGGGTGGGGGGTGGTAGGAGCAGTGGCAGCTCCACCAGCAGCGGCTGCCTCAGTCTGCAGTCGATGATATGAGTAGCTTTCTTCACCAGCGCAGTGAGGAAAACTACTAACCAGCCGCAGCAGCAGCAGCAGCAGCAGCAGCATCAGGTGGACCTGGAGCAGGACCTCAAACAACAGGCTTAGGCCTACTTGGACAGCACCCTGCCAACCGAGGTAGACAATCCCCTTGACTACTGGGCAACGAAACTTGACCTTTGGCCCCAACTAGCTGAATTTGCCCTTGAAAGGCTGTCATGCCCGGCCAGTAGCGTGGCATCGGAGCGCGTGTTTTAGTGCGGCAGGAGGTATTGCAACTCCGCGGAGGACACGACTGTCCACCCAAAGTGTGGAGAGACTGACGTTTGTGAAAATGAATCAGGCGTGGATTAGTCTGGATTTCAAACCACCAGTTCCTGACACAACTGACTAAATCCGCCATGAATCATGCCCCAAACATGTGCCACTTTCAGGTCTCCTCACACTGCTGGTGTGTTCCATTTTTTCATAGGGTGCTGGCAGATTACGGGCCTCCCATAGCTGCTGCCAGGCCCCTAATCTGCCATGGGCCCCTATACCGCCTCCTCATGCTGCTGCCAAGTCCAGAGTCTCTCATGGGTCCCTGTACGGCCTCCCATTGCTGCTGTCTCCATCGCCACACTCTGCCATGTGCCACTTTCAGGTCTCCTCACACTGCTGGTGTGTTCCATTTTTTGTCATAGGGTGCTGGCAGATTACGGGCCTCCCATAGCTGCTGCCAGGCCCCTAATCTGCCATGGGCCCCCGTACCGACTCCTCATGCTGCTGCCAGGCCCGTAATCTGTCATGGGCCCCTGTTGTCGCTTGTTGGCATATTCCGCTCGTTCAGATGCTCCTTCTCCTGCTACTCCTCTTCACGGATTCCGTCAGCAGTCTTTCTTGGAATCCGTTTCCAAGAGACAACAGTTTGCGAGCACGCACCAGACGGTGCAGAAGCCTGGGAAACTGAACGTCCTCCTGTCCAAGTTGCTGCTGCCAGGCTCGTCCAAATCTGTCATGCGCCCCTGTACCGCCTCCTGCCATGCTGCTGCCAGGTCCAGAGTGTGTCATGGGCCCCCGTACCGACTCCAAAATGCTGCTGCCCAGGCCCGTAATCTGTCATGGGCCCCTGTACCGCCTCCCCATGCTGCTGCCAGGTCCAGATTGTGTCATGGGTCCCTGTACGGCCTCCCATGCTGCTGCTGCCAGGCCCGTAATCTGCCATGGGCCCCCGTACCGACTCCTCATGCTGCTGCCAGGCCCGTAATCTGCCATGGGCCCCTGTACCGCCTCATGCCTCCTGTGCTCTGCCAGGTCCAGAGTGTGTCATGGGTCCCTGTACGGCCTCCCATTGCTGCTGTCTCTATCGCCACACTCTGCCATGTGCCACTTTCAGGGTCTCCTCACACTGCTGGTGGTTTCCATTTTTGTCATAGGGTGCTGTATGGCCTCCCATTGCTGCTGCCTCCACCGCCACACTGTGGCTCCACACTCTGGTTTTGGCCCCGTGACTGCCCAAATGAGTGAAGTGTGCGGTGATTCTAAGATCGACGGCACTCATCTGCATGTCATACTGCCTGACAGTATTATTTCTCTTCCCCAGCAGACTCCAAGGGCATTTAAATTAAAGGTACAGTGTTCAGCACTAATATTAAGTCTCTCTGAAGCCTAGAAACACCCTTTTTTAAGTTAAATTCACAGCGAATATATATTCGACTCGAATCGAAATTTTTCCACGAATTCGCCGAATCAGTCGAATCGAATTTTTGAATACTTCGCTCATCTCTAATTATTATTATTATTCATGATGCTGAGAATATCTTACTGACCCACACAGCAAATGTTTTTTCAGTTGTGGAGCAATGTACTCCACATTCATTCCATGAAGTGGGAATACACCACTGAGATCAACTTTCCATAACAATAACAATAAAGAGAGATTATGGAACATATACATTGGAATGGGTGATGGCGAGAGAAAGACTAACTCAAAAATGGGTAAGGATACTAAAGGAAGACAAGTCCTTAAAATTTACATTTACATTGGCCACTGCTTTTTCCAGTAAGGATGTTGAAATAAAATCAGCTGGGCAAAAAGCCAGTGAATGCTCATACATTAAGGAGGGCTGAATGTGCCCATATATGTTTGCATTTTATAATAAATATGACACTAAGGATGAACTAGTAAGACAACATTTCAAATAGCATTGGTGGTACAATTATTTTGCATGTGCTACCTGCTATTCAAAGATAATACGTTTTTATACTGCAGGATCTGAATGGAATTAGGTTCCTTCTATTTTGCTACAACTTCCAGTGTACATTATTCTGCCCAAGCCACTTGTAGGATATAGTGTCCTGACAAACAAGATTCTTCAGTTCTGGATTTCATCCAGCCAGTCACTCCTCCAAGAATGAAGGCTAATTATCTGCACCTGCTTCTTGTTTGTCTGTATGAAATCATTGTTTCTTTTGTGTATTCTGTAACTTCTTTAGTCCTATAATATATTAAAGTTTTTGAAAGATTTTCATGTACTCTCTAATCCTTGCTTTCTTTTTAATACAGTGATTTTTTTCAGAGTTCATTCTTGATTAAAAATTTAAAATTCCTAAAATGCTTGCTTTTAAGATGAAAGAAACCACAGTTTCCAGCAAGGTTTTTAAAATGGCAAAAAAATAAAAACAACACAAACTTTAAAAATGGGTTAATGTAAAGATGTTTCTTTTATGCGAAAAAGCCAAACACAAATAATTTAAATCCCCTATATAAAGTGCATCTTTACCTAATAAAGTAACTTATTTGCTACAGCAGCAATAACCTCCTCCACATAACTGTGATAGCCTAGTAGGTTATAGATGGTACTCCACTTCACAAGGGTAATAGCTTCAGGGCTTGCTGCCCTCTAGGACTGGGAGCCCCTAGAAAAAAAAAAGGTGGACTAGCCTAATGCATTATACCACAAATTTATTAAAAATGTATTGTAAATTCTACTCACAAGCATATTAATGAAACTTGCTCATTGATCCACTCATTCATGGCTAAGTACTTACAGACTCAGTCTCCAGAACATAGGAGGACCTGCAGGCTTATGCATTTAGATGGAATTTGCTTCTTCATCAGAGTCAAACAGCAAACATTCCTTTAGCTAAATATATACATATATACTTTGCCATGCTTGTGTCATGAGAACCAGAAGCACATCTCCTAGAATGGGAGGACTCAGACCAAGGAAAGGAGGGAACCTACCCAGATCTTACCTAAATAAAGATACATGAGTATGTATATAGAGAGAGAAATTACAGATCCCAATTGTCTGTCTATGCTTATCTAATCTTTATAGAGTAAACTCCCCCAAGTGCACTGTTTGTAAATAATATTGAAAATTATAACATACCTTATCCAGAATAGTAAGAAGAATGCCTTTTGTGTTTCCATTTTATTGATATTAATTGTTGTCAGAGTTACCAGAATGCAAAAAAAAAAACACTCCTAAATGGACCAAAGCGCCTGCAGATATCCAAAAGGGTGCTCCCTGAATACCTGGAGTATGTACCACTACCTAAGACTGGCAGTTCAGGCCAAAAATATGTTCCAGCCATCCACCAGTACATCACTTTCGAAGCGGCACTAGCCACCATTTTGTTGCGATCTATTGCAACAGGTCAAACATTGAAAAAAAAGGACACAAAACTAGGATGCAGATAAACCTAAATTCAATCAGATAGGTGCTAGGGATCTGAATTCTAATGATCTGTGGCACCTCTCTAGAGGCAGGCATTTATCACT